TATTTGTATTACATATGTGTGTGTGTGTGTGTAATATAATGTGTATAATATAATTTCTATTACTTGATTAAATAACTCATTTTCTGTCATATTTAAAATATTAAGTAATTAATTAATTTTTAATACACTTTACGCAATTGGCTATTTGTATTACACACACACACACACACACACACACACACACACACACACACACATACACACACACACACCATATGTGTGTATGTATAAAATAGTAGACATATTTTAATACTCTCGTTTTAATATGTTTACATATAAAGAAAGCAGAAGAAAATTGATTTATAAAAGAAAAAAATACATTTGTTTAATTTTTTTTTAAATAATGTCTCCTTGAATAAGCAATTCCGCTCTCACAAAAACAATTCCAATCAATTTCACCAATCAAAGCACCAGCAAAAAATTTTATTATTGTTCTTAATAGCTAAGAGAAAACAGTTACAACACTTTACGTAGTGAAACACTTTACGTGGATCTTGTATAATTGATTGTAAAATTATATGTATATAATTATATCTAAATTCATAGATGCAAATATTCATATAATTTATTTAGCAAATAAATGGCAGCAAGACATGTATTTTATTAATTTAATGAAGTAGTTGCATTTTATAAAAGTACTAAAAAACATCTGATTAATCATATATTGCGTATGTAATAGGACACGACCTTTGAGAGCATAACTTTCACTACATTTGCAGGTAATAGATGTTATATTTGTTAATTACTTAATCTCTAGTTAGTCGTTCACTTATTACCTGACATTCAATTTATAAATCGTCATATGTAATCATAATTATCAAATAATTTATTTCAAGAAGGTTATTTCTTTTTTATAAGAAAATTGAATGTAAATTTGATATGTTAGACAAATCTACACGTCTATTTCATATAATTTTATTTTATATACCTTTTTTTTGAGTCATTTTACTTGTCGTTTTATCATTAATCAATCGTGACAATTAATATTTATATATTCATAAACACATATTCATAAACAAATATACTCATTCTTATATTGTCAAATTAATTTTAAAATAAAAACCGTATTATCTATTAAAAACCATAATATTTATAAATTGAAAATATTATTAAGATATTACAAAATATTAATGAAAGTAAATTAAGCATATTGATTATTAGGATGCAATTATGAAACAATGCGAATACCGATTACGTACAGAAAAATTTGCAAACTTGACAATATTGAATTAAACCTAGTTTTCCGATGAATTCTCAAGCAATTCTTAAGTAAGTAAATCTTGAATAATATTACAGTATTTTAATCAATTTTATGAAGTTAATATAAAATTACTAGAATAATATATACACACACTTACATGGCTTATAGCCCTTTTATTTTTCAAATTTTAATTCATTGAATCTTTATTATATTATATTTTATTAATATAAAAATGTTTTAAATACATTTGGTATAAAAGATGATATTAAATCACAGTCTAAGATTTTGTAATCTTAAGGTTAATATATATATGTATATGTATATTCCTAAAAGAAAAGAACAAGTTTGATAAAATAATCTTTTATTTTCTATTTTTCTACTAAAGGATATAAAATGTTTTAAAGGATCATTTTCTACAATTAATAAATTAAAATGACTTGAAATGTTTATGATTTTGATAATTGTATTAAATTAATATTATTGCAATAATTGATAATATTAAAATTTTTTTTATATTGGTTTCTTAAATTCAAAACGTTTTAACGAAAAGTGAAAAATTTAGTAAATAAATATACAAATTTTGTGTATAAATATACGTATATACACATATATATGTAGTGTATTCTATATATATAGTGTATCTTTTTAAATATTTTTTTCTGTTACATTCTTATAAATATTACCAAAAATATATTTTCTATAAACATCACTTGAATATTGCCTGCTGTCATAATTCTTTCAATCTGAACACTTCTGTTTTTTTTTTTAGAATCCTAGCGTATTATTATAGAATTGTAAATATGGACCAATCTGATTAAAAAGAGCGGGAATCAGCACTTGATTATCCGCTTTGAGTCTCATGATGCGGATGTTAATCTGACGATTATCAATTTGTCTCAGGAAGAACTTGTGGAATCTTGATGACATTATCCAGATATTACCATTATCATATTTTGCCCATAAAATGTCAGCAGTAAATTGTAATTTTTCTGGACTATAAGCGAGGATTCTGAAAAAAGAGATATGTAAAAGATAGAAAAAAATTACTCTATTATAATTATAATTATAATAAATATTATAAACTTATAATTATAATTCTGATATATTATATTATTATTATCAATTCTCTGTAATGATAATATAATTTATTATCTCCTAATTAACTTTAATGTTTGACAAATCTGTCAGAGAGAAGAATATTAAAAACTATCAACTATCAATTATATAATAAATATGGAGAATGTCTGATAACAATAGCAATAAGTATATTTGTTACAAATTAAGATATTATCGAAAAACAAAATACAAAGCATGAGAATAAAAAATGTTAAATGTTTTAAGAATGTTTCTCTTTTTTAATAAAAATAATAAAAAGGAAAGGGGAGTGATTAAAAATGGTTAATACTATAGCAAATTCATTTTCCTTATGGAAATTGCTAATAAATCAACATTATTCTATAATAAATTTATATAAGAAGCGATGTGTACAAGGCATTCATTCAACTTACAAGTCGCAACCAACGGTGCTATGACCATTTACTTAAAGTGGAACCGGTTTGCGTGCATAGTATGCAACTGCTTCGGGATTCTTATGTACACCTTGTTATTTTTCCGATTATAAATTTGTTATATAACATTATTTTTATGCTAATACATCAATATTAGTGTAATGTATAAATCAGAATATAAGAAAAATATTTTTGATAACTATTAATCTTTTAAGTTCAATTATGTTAGAGTAACATAACATTGCATAATTATTAACAAATTCACATTAAAATAACATAACACACTTATAAATTATTTTTATATATATTTCGTACAAAATTTGATACCTCTGCTGATTCGTTTGCGGTTGCCATGACGCGATCGCGGTCTCGGTAAAGGGAGAGAAAATGATTGTATCATCTCGAGGATCCACGGCCAGTGCCAGACCTTGACTCGACTTTCTACCGACCAAGGTCACAGGTAACTGTTCACCGAAAGGTAGCGGACCGGCTTGGAGAGCCGAAGTAGGCACACTGAAGATACGATCAGTTGCCAGAGGTTGATAGTAGACGATTCCGAGTTTTGGTGAAAATGTTAGTCCCACTACGCCGTCTAAGAACTCGAAAGTATCACTTCCGATCTAGAGAAATACCCAATTAATGTTAAACAAGATATGTTTAATTGGAGAAATTCTATAATAAAATATATTATATGCAAATGATGATTTTTTTCCGTGTGCATATTATGTATTACACTCAGAGAAAGGTTTCTTCGATTAAAAAAAGTGTTTCTTTGCTATGCGGTTAAAAAGAATTTTTTTCTTTGTTTAAATAATAAATTTTTTTATTTGTTTTAAAAAAATAATTTTTAAATCAAAGAAATTATTTATTAACCATATAGTAAAGAAGCATTTTTTAAATCAAAGAAACCTTTCTCTGGATATATTAAAATATATATATAAACTTATTACAATATATATAAAAACTTTCTGCAATATTAAATATAATCAAAATTTAAGCTATACACAAATTTTATTATTCTCTAATATTTGTTAAAAAAGGAAATCAATTATAAATTACAACAATAGCATTTAG